CAGCCTCTTCTCAGTTACAGGTTCTGCCACCTTTTGTTTATGTGTTTTCAAGCTCTGTGGATCAGAGCTGGCACAGTGCCCAGGCTGAAGCTCTCCATGTTAGGCAAGGTCTTCAGTCATAACCACAGTATAAAGTCACAAATCAGCTGCTCGATCTGATCTTTTTAATAACAGAGGAGATTAAAGAGTTGGGGATTCAGCTAGAATAGCCAGTGAGTGCCATAATTCTCACCAGTGTGGGGTACTTACCTGGTGCTCTTTGGGTAGCTGGCTGACTATTGCACAGCTGGCTGAAAGCTGCTTTTGTTTACCCAGAGAAAGCAAATACTATTTCATATATCAGCTATGTTTCAAGCACAATGAACTACATCTTGTTTACTGTCTTTAAGGCTGCATCAGCTCTTCTACCATCTGCCTCATGGACACCTGCACTAAATACACATCCCATCTTTTCATTCACCAAGCTTGTTTTGGTGCTGAGAGTTAGGGCATGGTAGAAACCACCAACCTAAAAATTACTCAAGTGAACATTCTCCCATTAGGACAAACAGCACATTCATCTGTGTCTCTCCCTCAGGGTAAGGTTATTGGATATTTTCTCAGCAGAATTTTCCCTGGGCTGAACATGAGATTGTGTGCCCTTGCGCCTTTATGGTTATTACTTTAATGAATCTCTCATTGACAACAATTGGTAGTGTTAACGCTGTCTCAGTCTTCAATGTTACATGCACTGGATGGGGGGATAAGGAAACTGAATTGGAAGGTTTGTTCCTCAAAACCACTATAGTTCAGAATTCATGTGCTTCCCTTTATAACTTTTCAGCATTCTCTTGCAACGTGCTCTGTGTAATTTATAGGGCATTTCCAGACAAAGGATATGACTCCCATAGGCAAAGGAAAGGAATATTTCTCATATACAAGGGAGAGGATTGTTTTTGACTAGCCAGCACATATTTTAACCCATATTTTTCTCTTCCCTGGATTCCCTTGTCTAATTTACATTTCCATGATGATTAATTCTAGCCCTTCCTCAGAAGTGTGTCGACACTACTGTGGTCAGCCAGTCAGTAAACCTCACTAGTAAAATACAGTACATGGCCCTCATGAAATGGCTGCTACAAAGCACTTCAAGCCTTGCAGAAGAAGAATACCATAAAAACGACAAATGGTGTTAATGAGGATTTTCTACACCATTTCCAGCTGGACCAGGGCACTTTGCATTAAGCTAATGAGAGTTGAAAGCGAAATTAGATGGTTTTGATGGAGGTTTCATAGCGCGTGGGCACACACTGACAGCAAATGCAATTATTTTTCAACCCATGGGAGCTTCAATCCAGAGACTTGCACACCACTTCATCCAGTAAGGCTGGCCCCCAAATCTGACCCAGCTGACACCTGTTCTTTTCTGAGGAAATGACTGTAGAGCAGGAAGGAGGAATGTAAAATGATACGTGCTGCTCTTGCTCACCTCCAGCCTGAGATGTTAGGTCTGCTTACAAACACTTTCCCGTTTCACCTACATTAGGACTAAGTCAGGATCCTTCCCATCACTATGGATATACAACTATAACCAAAAAGAGAGGAAAACCAGAAATGTTTTAAGAAACAAAAAAGTCAAGATGGAATGATTGAAAGAAACATTCTTTGTCTTCAGTAAAAAGACAGATTCAGGGAATTGTTCATCAGCTGCATCAGCCAAAATAGATACATGGATGAACTAACAATATCACAAAATTATTCACCTTCTCAAGAAAATACACTGAAATGAAAGTTGATAACTATTTCAAAGGAAATTTTGGTTAAAAGATGTGTGGAAAGAGAAGGGTCCCTCACTCAAGTTTTCCTTTTTTCTTCGTCTTCAAAACAAAGTTGAAGTAATTGAAGTCATAGCAAAGCAGATTAAATTATTTTTAGTCTTAGCAGGTCAACTCTTGTCACCAGAGTGATAGGTCTTCATCTATGGTCCTCAGTCTTTGTAGACAGAGGAGAAAAGTCTGATTTTAGCAGGGTGCCTATATAACAGCATTCACCTTAAGGTCATGCTTTCTTACCTCCTAGATGCTGGAATATCATCGTGCAGAGTGATACACCTCCAACTGAACCGTACTCCACACTTGGATTTGTGTGGCAAGGATTTGGTAGCAGAGGCGGTTTCTCTGAGAAGCCAGTGCCAGTCAGCTTCAAGACAGGCCCACTGCTGGCTAAGGCTGAGATGTTCAGTGACAGTGGTAGCACCTCTGGGATAATACAGCAAAGAAGTGGGAAAGAGAAACAACTTGTATAACAGCAGCAGAGAGAGGAGTGAAAATATAGATGGAAGAAACAGCTCTGCAGACACCAAGGTCAGTGGAAGTTTGTGGAGCCTCTCACGTGGGAGGCATCCCATGCTAAAGCAGAGGAAGAGCATGATGTGTAAGGAGAGGCAGAAACAACATGTGATGAACTGAACTGCAACTCCCATTCCCCATTCCCCTGCACCACCTGAGGGGGAAGAAGGTAGAGGAAACTGGGAGTGAAGTTGAGCCTGAGAAGAAGGGAGGGATGGGGGGGAAGGTGTTTTTAAGATTTGAGTTTATTTCTCATAATTCTATTCTGATTTGATTGGTAATAATATAAACTAATTTCCCCAAGTCAAGTCTGTTTTGACTTTCACTATATTTTCTCTCCTCTGCCCAGCTGAGGAGGGCAGAAATAGAGTGGCTTTTGTGGGCATCTGACAATCAGCCAGGCTCAACCTACCAACACATGGAACAGCTCCTTAGCTCTGCTACCCCCACTACAGCATCCTAGTATGTCTAGACAAAATGTGTTGATGGAATTTGACTACTTCACTGTAGCTGATCAGCAACAGCAACCAGGATTGCTGCCACTTTAAGGGAGTACATTAGTTGTGCAAGCCTTAATGAAGTCAACGGAAAATCACTTTGTGCTCGTGATTTTTCCCCCATAAAATTATATGTACAGACAGTCAAAGTTTTTTGACTTCAAGTGGTTGTTTCTGCGTGTTTTCCCATGCCAGATATTTTAATATCTTAATCCAGATATCCACACTGTTTATACAACAGTAGATATCCAAATCTACTAGGAAGTGACACTCATAAGTAGCCAGTCCATCACTACACAGCCCTCTGAACCCTACAGAGGATCACTTACTCTCTTATCACACCAGAAAAGCCATACAGACTGTCTCTCAGCACATAATCTCCAAATCAGAGGGAACTGATCTTAGCTGGCTCACAGAGGTGATATTAGCCTGACCAGAAAATATTCATAGAGCTTACAAAGACATTAATTAGACGATTATATTCTTTTTTGGAAATCCAGGCAACCACAGGGACACCTGTGGAGAACATAATAGCAGTCAGACAGCAGGTGATTCCGGTTCTGTGTTCCTACATCAGAATGACAAAGGATAGAACAGTGTTAAGAATTATAATGGACATGAACCCACATGCACTTTAGGAAGTTTAACATGTTTTTCCCGTGTTTTGACATGGGGAAAAAAAAAAAAAAAAGGAACTGTAAGGTAATAGAAAGCTGACATTAGATTTACTTTCAGTGGAAAAGTACTGAACTTTATGAAGATGTGAAATTTGAAAAGATGCAACTAACATAAAATAAAAGCCTTCCTATTTCTCCAGTAGGAGAAAATAAAAACTCTAGCCCTCACCTATATCCTTAGCCTAATGAAATGTCATCAGACCTGAGTCCTTAAAAATCTTTCTGTTCCTCCTCATATAAATGTAAAACTCATATCCATTCATTTCTCTGCAGTCATATAACCAGTTAACTACTTTCTCATTAATACTGTCCTTTTTTAGAGACTGATTTTTTTTTTTTTGCATATGCTTTGTTAATATGAGTAAAAAGATGTACAGTGCAGAAGACACTAAACAACAGATTTATATATAGAAGAGGTGTAAAGATCTGCCGGGAGTGCTCAGTATCCTCACTGTCAGCTCAAATCAGCAACAGCAGAGTTTTCAGTCTTCTCCAAAGCTTGGTCTCAAATCTGTAGAACTTCTGATATTGTTTTGACTTTTCTCCTTCTTTGAATATGAATATTCCAGTGTATATTTCTGCAATAACCAGATGCTGTTGTGGGCTAGTATAAATGTACTGTGGTTTTGTAATGATATTGCCAAAGAAACAAATGCTCCACTGCAACTACATGGGATTAGTAGATGATGAGCTGTCTGATGTTAGTAAGGTATTTACTCACTGGGAAAACATCTACTCCTGACTGTGTCATGGTGGTTTCTGCTCAGAATTTGCCCTTGCAAAGTTCCCAGTTATTTAATAAACAGGATACAAACTGCTGTTCACTAGGAGGAACCTACTTCTCTGGCACTTATAAACATAAAATAGTTTGGACTGGAAGGGACCTTTTTAAGGTCATCTAGCCCAATCCCTCTGCAATGAGCAGGGACATCTTCGAATAGATCAGGTTGCTTTGAGCCTCGACGAACCCAACCGTGAATGTTCCCAGGAATGGGCTATCTAACACCTCTCTGGGCAGCCTGTGCCAGTGTTTCACCACACTCCTATCGGTTTCTTATGTCCAGTCTTAATCTGCCTTAGTGGTTTAAAGCCATTACCCCTTGTCGCACTGCTACAAGCCCTACTAAAAAGTCTTTCCTCATCTTTAAGCTCCCTTTAATAAGCACTGAAGTTCAGCGATGCTTCGGCAGGCAAGGGGCGCTGTACCCGGTAACATCGGTAACAGTCCCGGCACTCATCGAGGGGGCGAGGGGAGCTTGGTGACCAACAAGTTGAAACCTTTCCAGTAAGCGTTAATGATGTCGGGAAAGCGCAGGGAAACGCGTTTAGAGCAAGGTGTCACAGCAGGAATGACACCTCTCCGAAAAGGACCCGCACCCTCGGCGCACCCGCCCAGCCGACTCCACCCCGCCGCGCCGGGGCCGGGACGAGCCAGCGCTGCCACCCGGGAGGAAGGGGAGGGATTTCACCTGCCCCAGCCCAGCCCAGCCCGGCCCGGCCCGGCCCGCCCCTCCAGGTGCGAGGTGGAGCAGGAAGCGGCGGCGGCGGCGCCGGAGGGGACCCGCGCCCGCCTCGGCGCGGGGTCCATGCGGGGAGATGGCGGCGGGCCGGGCGCTGGCCGCGCTCCTGGCTGCCCTCCTGGCTGCCCTCCTGGCCGTCTCGGCGCAATTCCTCCCGCTGCCAGGTAGGGACGGGGAGTACAGGGAGGGGGCGGTGTCCCCTTCCCCCGGCTCGGCTCCCCGTCACCCCCACCCCCGGGGCTCAGCTCCCTCTCCCCGCCGCCCCTGGCTCTGCTCGCCATCACCCCGACCCGCGGCTCCCCGCCACCCCCTGCCCGCCCGATGGGACCCGCCCGGTGTGCGGCTGAGCCCGACCTCACTTTTCTTGGCCGCAGCGTAGGCGAGAGACCGGTTACTCTGCCTTTATCCCCGTGTGCTGCTACTGAATAAATAACTATTGGTTGTTTAAAGGGGGCGCGGGTGGGAGCGGGTTAGGGTTCAGTTTCAGCACCCCTCGTCTGAACGCTCTTTTTCTTTCTCTGTGAAAGTACTATCCAGAGAAACGATTTGATCTGTACGTCCTCGCTTGCTGGAGTATTGATTATGCAAATAACTTCACAAAGTCCTTTTCCTGGACGCCAGAGAGGCAGCTGAATTCTCTGTAGGGAGGAGGAGCTCTCAGGACCGTGGTCTCTGTCAGACTGTGCAGTCATGTCAGCTTTTCAGCAGAGTATTATTTATATAGAGCAATGGGTGAACTGTAGATGCAGGGAAATGGAATGGCTTGTGTGCCCAGCAGGGTCAGATAGTTTAATGGGGGCTGCTGCTCACTACCAGCTCTGCATCTCTTGAAATTCCTGGATGCTTGATGCAATCCCATGTATCTAAACCATGCATAATTTTCTTAAGTCCTGTCTGTGACCCCAGAAGAATTCCAGTTATGAACACAGGGATAGTGTGTGGGGTTTTCCTCAATTTCCAAAAGCTCTTGATGGAAAAAAATGCCCATCTTCAAGTCCAAACAGTCTTATTGCTATCAGTAGTCCTGGTAAAGGCTCTTGAAGTATGAGTCCTTCTGTACAGAATAACTTGGTGTCACTTGCAGTGATTAGGAATAACTGATATGAAATCTGTGCCTTTTTAATATTTCTATTACCTTTAACTGCTCTGGTTCTGCTGAAGTGGGGACCATGCCATTCTTGTCATAAACAATACAGTCTAAATGTTGACTGTGAAACTGGACAGCCCTGACGTTTACGTTTCAAGCTGTGTAGTCTTTTAAATAAAATATTTGCATTGAATTGTATTGCCTCTGCGTTGAGCGAATGACAACTATTTGCCTCTCTAAGCCTCTCCAAAGGAAAAAGAAAGAATGTGGTGCTGTGTTTAGTTGTGTTTTGTTTCTAGAGAAAACACTGGATGGGTCAGCACTAGAAGCAGAGGAGATAAACTTTCCCACGATCTTAGCTTAATCTAGGAGGAACCAGGGAGCAAGAGCTCCCCAACCACTGATGTTGCCCTCAGGCAAACCCTGAAGTTGCTCTGTGAAGCAAAGCTAGTAACAGTGAAATTGCACAAAACATCACTGATAGATGCAGTGATTTGCTGCCACTGATGGTGGCCCCTCTTCCTACCTCCTTCAGTCCCTTCCTTTCCAACTACATGCTTCTGCTTGCTGGTCTGCCTCCTGCACAAGCACCACTGCTCCTGTGTGCCAGGTCCTATGTCATCGTCTCCCAACTCTAACTTGGTGCCTTCCTCCTCTCTGTGAATTCCCAGTCCCCCCAAAAAGAGGTTGCTTAGTCTGAGCTGCATTAGTTGGCAGTGCTGCATGGGTTGGCAAGCTGAAGGTTGTGATGGTGTGAGCGGGAATGGTGCCTTCCCAGCTTTGTTGGCAGATCTCACATGCCTAGTGGTGTCCTTCATTCCAGCAGGAGCTGCCTTTGTTATTGCACAACCAAAACTGTAGTTGAGACATGTCCCTGAGCAAAAGTTTGTCCTGAAAGCCCAAGATAGCTCAGGTTAAGATTTTCCCCACACCTCTGTGTAGTTTGTAATTTTTAAGGAGTTGCCTTTGCCCTGGTACTGACGTTGGTACTGGCTCTGCAGTTGCTGTGTTTTGGCTGCAAGTTGCAGCTACCTCTCTTTTAGCAAGGCCAGGTTTAGGCTGGGTGTGCACATGGGCTGTTTATGAGGCACACGTTCCTCTTCTTGGAGAGTGATGGTGCTCTAGTGAGACAGCTACAAATTTTGGTGAGCTCTAAAGCGGTCTCTCGTCACCCTTGATGAAGTTCTTTCTTCTCTCACCATCTCCCTCCACCCCTTCCCAGGAGGTACAGTATTACAGTGGTGTTCTTACCATCCCGTAGGAACGTGTGGGTCAAGCGTGGCTGGTCACATTTTATTCAAAGGAGCTTTTGGGTTTTCCTGAAATGCAGCTCCATGCATAATGTAAACCATCAAATGAAAGATTGATTAACTTATAGCTGGAAAACTACAGAAAGAAGTATTTGGTGCAATAGCTGTGCGTAGATGTGGGAGTGTGAATGAAGTATTGGGTATCTGACCTTTGAAAATGTGTTTTCCAGCTAAAACCATGTTTCTTTGAAGCAGTAATAATAAAGTTAATCGAACTTTCATTCTGTCTATGAAATAAATATTTCAGATTTAAAGTATCCTTATAAATGTGATAAAATCTGCATTTGTGTTTTGGGCTTTGTCTTTAAAATATCATTGTTGTTATAAGTGAATTTACAGATAGTGCCATGTTGACTCTTGCTGTACCCTCCAGTTAACTTTTTCTTGGCAACTGACTGATTTGAGTTATGCGTCAGTCTTAATATGTAAAGCTGCTTCCTTTAATAAAATAAAAAAAAAAAAACCAAGCTGTTAGCAGGATCTTTTTGCTGTTCTGACAGAATATAAATAACCAGCCTGTTTGTTCTCCTCTGAAAGTCAGTGGAAGCTGGATCATTTCCATTCTGAATCGTCGTTTGCTCATTCGATTGAGACCTCTCCTTTTAAGACCACAACCAATGTGCATGAGTATTCAGCTGTGACTTTTTTATTGCTTACCTCATGCCATTTTCAGTCTGGAGTTCTTAATTTTTACTCTCTAGAAAATCATGTGTTTATAGTAAATTACTAGTTTGTAGTATGTCTCAGTTCTGGTGCTACTACCTTAAATTCTCCACCAGAAAATACCCTTAATTTTTTTTTTTCTCAATTCCAGGTTTTTGTGTGGGTTTGATTTGTTTGTTTTTAACAAGTGAACCTTGTCTCTGCGTGTTTTTTGTTCGTCTGTAAGTCTGAAGGGAGGTAGAGGTAATGCGAAGGCCCAAGTTGGTGAGGTGGTGGAAACATGAAAATATTTGAGGATTAATACATTCAGCTGACCTTATTGTCTATAGCAGCACAAATGACCACCAACTTGAGTGCCTCCACTAGAGATCCTCAGTAAGATTGTGGTCTCTGGAGTTGAGTGTGAATGAAGCTTCTCCAACAGCTGTACTCTTGGTCATGGGGTTACTCGAATGTAAAACTAAAAATACCAACAAATAGCAGCCATTTGGCTGGGAAGTGGCCCAAGAGAGAAGAAAGGGGATGTGGTAAGCCAGCTCCTGAGCCTGGCTCCTTAGCTGGCTGGTGTCTTTTTTTTGTGCCTGGGGTTGTCATCTGATGAGCTCATTTGGTGGCTCATCAGCCAAAAAAATAATTAAAGGAAAGTAGGCTGAAAAGGTTTATTTTTTGGCATTGCCTCAAGGCAAAGGATTGGCCAAGGGAGAAACAAGGTGGAGGGATTGGAGGCTGCTGAAGCTCATATTCAGAGTACCACCATGGACCTGTGACATGGAGAAAATTATGTGTTAGCTGGAAGATTGTTCTCCTCTCGTTTTTATTACAGCTTCTCTGTATTGTCTTCCTACACTGTAAAGACAGTTTCTAGACAGAAATCAGGGCTTGCTCTGTGAAATGAAGGCAGAACCTTTCCCCTGCCTAGTATTGGGTATCATTTGGGTCAGTTGTGCTTAGGGTTGTCAATTACTTACATGAATTATCTTATCTTTAATATTGAAATAGAAAAGAAAGTAGGAGGAAAACTACTGGAAAAAAAGTATTGAATTATTGAAATATGTAGCAGCAGCAGTATTTTCACAAATAAATATTGCTGGGGCTTGATTTATTGGTATAACCCTTATCACCCAGCTTAATTGTTATTTATAGAGGCATATGTTAAATAAAAAAGGTTTGGGCTCCACAGCTGCCAAACCCTCGGTGTTAGCCAGAGGCTGAACAACTTTGCACTTACTTATTCCAGAAATGTTTCATATTTGAAATAGCATGAGAAACCACCGCTTGCTGAGAACAAAGTCAAGACACTTCTGGCTTTACCTGTGTTGGCTGCTACAGCTGTGGGTGACAGGCATATGGTGTGTTTGCAAGTTAGTGTAGACGAAGGGTGAGTAACCCTTTTCCTTCTTCATTGGTTTCCCTGTATTGATTACTTACAATTTTTGTAATTGCTGATGGCAAAACATGACTTTTTTCGGGTTCTGGGCAGTGACAGATGAGTGCAACACAGGAGCAGTGTGTGGAGTTGTGCACCCGTGTGTGTTGTGGCTGGTGTGGAGTCGCTGGTGGTGCTGGGTTACTGCTGGGGCTGTGAGGGGAAGCTGGGTGTTGCTCATCACTGTCATGAGTGGGCTGTACCCATGAACTGAGCTGGCCAGTAGTTTTCTTACTGCAGCAAGGTCCTCCTTCCTCCTGCTCTCTTCTGGGTGTCTTCTGAGCTCTCCCTTTGGAGATTTTCTGGCCTTGGTCTCCTCGCAAGAGCTCCTAGAAGGACTCAGCTGCAGCAAAGCATGTGATGGGCTGGAGGATATGGGGAAAATGGGCCTTGGATGCCAGGTTTGATCTAAATGGGCTCTTTTTGCCTTAATGCTTTAAGTTTCTGTTAAAATCTTTTTACAAATTTGCACCTTTAATAATTTCTATAATTTAAAAACCTTTGCCCACCTGGGGGAAAGGCCGAAGGTGTCACCTTAACAAAGCACTTCCAGCAGCTTCTGGTTCATTATTCAACTCCCTGCTGCTTCCTGAGTATCCCTGTCAAACCTCAGCTCTGGCACGGACTACGTACCCACTTACAGCACAGTTGGTTTGTTGGAACCAAACCATTAACCTG